ATTATTGCCCTATTAGCATTTTACTAGGGCCAATAAAACTAGCGCGTGTTTCTTATCAGTTTCTTCGTATATCTAGTAGAATAACATCTCACTATCACTGTTTTCTATTCCTTCAACATAAATAATTTTTTCATCATATATTTTTGAACATATTGATTCCGAGCGAATGGTACACCCAGCCGTTTGTGAAGCTTATATGATACAAACCAAGTGAATGAACAATGCAAAAAACTGAAAGGTCAATAACAGACTCCAATATTTCATTTGTTAACCATAAATTACAAACTCGACATAAAAGCTATCGCATTGAATGCGCCTTTCCAATTTGCCAGTCACCATTAATATGCCATCATTTTTTGGTTTTTCAGTGTCATCCTTTAAAACGCTTTGCAAACATTGTGAGTTTTTAGAAAACACAACCATTGTATTTCCTTTTGCTGAATCTGTCAGTGCAAAATTACTGTTTCATTCATTGCCCTGAAGGCATGGGTTTTTACAACTTCAAGTTATTTAGTTCGAATCAAAGTGCAATTAGACCACAATAGAGCAAGCAGATTGTTTTACTGACCAATTATGTTCAATTTCTTTTTATTGGAATCTCGCCATTTCAAACATTGATATTTATTTAGTTGTTCCTGATTTAGGTAGATCATCAGGCGAATTAAACGCGCCATGCCCATATTGTTTTGCTTCAGAGCTATCGACAAAAAACAAAGCAGATAGTAAGAGCCTAATCTTGTCTTCCTATATTATATTTCTAGCCACACTTGAAATCGCTTGAAAATACAGCATGGTCATACATTCCTTTCATATTTTTGCAACTTGTTATATCATTTGCGACCCTCTCTTGTCTTTAAATTGAATTTTTTTTATCMCTGCAGAAGTGTATCGTGTCTGCTACAGGTTTAACCGGTTTTACTTCCTCTTCTCTAACGSCWTAGAGAWTGCTTCTTTCCAGGCCATTTTKTTTAATGTATCATATATGAAATTAGCTTGATGGGTTTAACTGTTATGYAGATGGTAAATGGCTCCTTMATGTGGATAGAATGGTTGCWATAAGCTACTTTAACTTAAAATTTATCTACAAGATGGACTTCAATCTCTTTGATTTCAAAAGTTTTTTTGTTTTATTTGCTGAGTTTCAATAACTACTAAAATATATTGACGTGCRAGCCTAAWTATTCCTAAGTTGGCGTCAATCGCATCTCATAAACAAGTTGCTAGCCGTAAAAGAGAAGCTCGATAGTAAAATTCCGGAAAGCTCCTTTTATCTGTTAAACGAATTCATAAAAATGATAATAAAATGAGATTAGAGAGAAGTTAAGTGCACGTTAAAGTAAAACAAATTCTCATAAACCGGTTGGTTCATTACAAGTTATAATTTCGAGTCAAATGAAATAAAACGTCAGGTAGTTTCATTTTGTCCATCAAGTAAAAAGTAAATATTGGACAATCCTGATGGCCGGATTTTACCTAAATACTAAACATAATCAATCACTAAAATGCTCACATACAGAAGTTTGGTATTTAGGGTAGCCATTTAATTCGAAAATTCCACTAAATTGATCACATAACTCTCCAATCTCACATGGGATATTTACTGTGTCGAATTTTAATGTAACTTTTTCACGCAATGTTTTTACACGAATGCGGCTGACATATTCGATGGAAATACAGTATAATAGGTAAAATGCCCTAGCGCCGATTCGTAAATGATTGGTTTAAGTGAATTTAATATTTTGCGATATTAAATGGACGTAAAAAGTAAAACAAGAAAAGTAACTCTATTAAAGTGTCTGCAGTTATTTAGGCATAAAGGACAATCTTTTTAAGTTTAGCAACGGGAGCCATCAATTTTTCTCAGAACGTATGGAGTTTATTGCTTTAACAGATAATAAGATAAATATATTCTGTTGTCTTCTGTTCCGTCTTTATGTTGCCAACAAACACCTCAAAAAAGTCAATTAATAGAATCATAATTATATTTTTTGAAACATATATTGTTAACCTGCTCTGAAGAACAAGGAGTAAAACAGAGCATAAACAAAAAAAAATGTATTTATTTATTTATTTAATTAACCAGATAATTACATATATCTTCTGTAAATAGGCTGGTGTGATGATATTATTTTTAAGGAGCAAATGAATGCAAACTAATTAAAATTGACTTAAAATAATTTATAAAAGTTCGATTTTGTGAAGAATTAGGAGTACCTACCTACTTGCTTATACTTTGCAGCAAAATCTGTTATTTTTCGGAAAATATTTCTCAAAATTCACTTTTGAAATGTTATTATGTTCACTTACACGAATGCTGAAATTGCTAAAATGGCTTCTCTTTGTGAGTTTGTCCACCGTAATTGTTATGTTGCCCGGCGAATTTCCGCTGAGATATTTTTTTAGTCATCCAGCTGGCAAAGCGAAAACCTTTAAGAGCATTTTTCCAACTACTTCCAGACAGGAACAGTTAGGAAAAGTTCAATTGCCGCAAGACGGTTAGAATACCTCAATAGGAGAAATCTATTAGATACGAAATTGAAACGGCCCTCACAGATGCCAGTGAACTTACTTTAAAGTTTCATTGTTAACAATAAGCCGCAATGATAGCACCTTAGGTTTTGAAAATATTTCATGGATTTGAGATTAATTTCTTTTTTCCTAACTTTGCTAATATTTTACGATAATGTTCAATTCTGCTGAAATGGCCTTTCGCTGTGAAACTTTTTATAAATTGCGTTGGCGCTCAAAGGTTGTTCTGAATTTAAAAAAAATTCGACTTTAATGTTGATTTCTAAAGCTACTTCCGCACTCAAGAATCAACTTGAAAAGAAAGAGGGGTCCAAATTTGTAATTTTGGGAAGAATTACGTTTTTCTTTTTAATTATGATTATATTTGGTCTGCTTAAAACTAATATTGTCGTAGTGGATTATAGGAAAGAATTAGATTTTAAGGGAAGCTATATTTTCGAATACATTTTTGACCAATCGTAATGAAATAAACGGTTTTTTTTTCAGAATGTGTCGGTGACTGTGTCAATTCTTACCTTGACTTTCATATCAATTGATCGATGGTATGCCATCTGCTATCCATTAACATTCAGATCAACCACAGCGAAAGCTAAGACAGCCATTTGCCTGATTTGGATTATTTCTTTTGTTTATGGTAAGTACAAATGTGTTTTAAAACAATTTTCCTAGCTTTAAAAGAAGTTAATAAAGCCACCCATAAAATGTGGGATGAGTTGAGAAAGTTACTTTATTGTTCGTAATTTTTATACAGTTTAGTTGGCGCAAAGTATACTTCTAAATTACACTTCCAATACTTACTAGGGGATTTTTAAACCTTTTAAGTAAAGGCGGGCTGGAAATACCTTGAGCAATACGTTCATTTGTTAGAGAAGCAAATTGTCAGTGTATTACAGATTTAAGATCAATAGGAGTTGGGACATTTTTATTCCATTTCCAGTTTACCAAATCCTATGGTAAAGCAATGAAACTTTGGCTTTTTTAAAGAAAATTTTCACAATAGGGCAGGTTAAGTTCTGGGGCTATTTCAAGGCATATGCCTGTATATTGCAAAATCCAGACAATTTATTCGAGCAGAGCAGCGTAAGCCTTGAGAATTTATTACTACAAATAGGTTCAAACCTATTGCGGATTATACTTCCATTGCGAAGAGATAACCGTTAGTTTACCCCGTTAGAACTCCAATTCCACTGGGACCAGGATTTTATATATTGTGCTACCTTTATATTGAGAGCTAGTCACTTAACAGTGTGGTGCTAGCACTTGATTAGTTTAAAACACAACTACTTTAAAATAAGAAGTTGTGCATTTTCCAAAAAAAGTTACTGCAATTTTGATCTAAAGTGTTCAAAATTTCTGTATCATTTCGTGCCATTTCACCGCTAAATGTTCAATCCATATTCGACAGTTTTATTTTACACTCTATTCAAATCCATAAATATGAAACTCATTCGAGCATAGAGGTCCTCTGAAATTCACTGAACATATTTTACGTGTGTCATAACACCATATGTTATTAATGGATTTGGATTTGAGCCATATATCTCCTGACATAGCTTTTTCATTTCTACCTGCAAACATTTGGGAAATAAAAATTTGGCCCCAGCATTAATCTTCTATCGTTGCAAAAAGTGGGTTTTAACATTGGAAGTTAATTTACTCTCTTTTGTGCCGAACTAGCTGGTTAATTTATTACCTTACTGAAGTTATAATACATAATGGATAACAATTGAAGCAGCGAAAAGGGGTCAAAAGATGTTTACTTTTTAGGAGTCGCTTAATCAGTAGATGGACTTGTGGCAATGTTTGACACAACATTGATTGAATTAACGCTTCGTGTTCAAGTTTTTTAAGAAGGCTATAATCCGAAGCACTAAGAAAATTAGCATCAAGCAATCAAATAAACTCCTTGAGAGTTTGGATATTAATTGGATGTGGTCCACTTGCAGTGCAATAAAATACATATATGAAATCCGCCACGTTCATTTTTGACCGTCAAATAATTTTATTTCGCCATATTTCATGATTTATGGCCAACTTTTACAAGTCATGTTCAATGAAAAGTTCTAGTTATTTTTGGAAATAATGCAATTCTGATGTTTCGAGTGTAAGGATGAACATAATGTTTGTTTGTTGTGACTTTTCTTTATATTTTTACCTTGAGCTAATTTTTTAATTAACTATTACCCATAAAATTCAAAGCTCTAAAACAACCGCGACTTTAGGCGTTGAAAATACATTCAGGTTCGTAAATCAACGACACTTTCACATAAATATTTTTTATTGCAGATATTTTTCTTTGCAACAGGTAAATTTCTTAATTGTAAAATCTCACTCTTAATTGGCATTTAAGATACTAATAATCATAATCCTACAGTTAACATATCACCAATACAACCATAAAAACTAGCAGAGAGTTTAGTACCGTTCAACCATAGTTAGCTTAATATTGTCCCCTGTGATTGCATGGAACTGGAAATGAGGCCTTGCTTCTGATCTGGACGATTCATCTCCACTTTCTCTCGAATTTTGCAGTTCTATGTTGGTTATGATGTGACTTAGACTAGAGCGGCCATCTAAACAAATAATTTATTCTCATAATATCATATYKCTAACTAATTGTAATTATTAAAACATTTYCATATGATATTTTCAACGAATATTATTGCTGAYGGCAATCAACAGTTGCGTTTGACGAAAYAATTAACTCCCCAATTTTTCATAAACTGAAATAACGTATTTTAAAACCTGAAATTTTTTAAATATTTCTATYGCAAAATATGACCTAATTAATTAATGGWAGAAGATATACGGCGCGTATAAACCAAGTAGATAAAGACTATCGCTTCACACTAATATTCATCATGCTCACAAAACRCGATACGCTTWTGATTAAGTTTTAACAATCTTGATTTTCGTTAGAGTTACCTTAATCCTTTGGAAATAATGTGAATAACATTATTTTAAAGGCCTTCCTTTAAGAGTCCGTGGGTAGTTATTTAGAAATTGTCTCATTTTTGATTGCCGATTTCTCAGTTTCAGACTCTAGAAATCCAGTATTAAATTAATTTCAGTTAAATGCTACATTCGAAAATACTGCAATTTGGTGCAAAATTCTTCTTAAAGACTGTGAGGGCAACACGCACAGCAAAAATATATTAGCAAGTTTTATTTTTCCATGAATAAAAAGATTAAAATAAGGAATAACGATAGCATTATTCGACGGGAAACTTTCAGAAGTTAAATGCAGGGCAAGTATTTTATATGGCTAATTTTCGTTCATTGAAAGGTTTTTTATCATGGTCAATTTTACGTGATCTTTAGACATGTATTATTTTTAGTTTGTTTTCAGTGTCAGTTCGGTTGATTGGTTTAGTTATTGTGCTAACTTGTGCGGTAATGTGTTCTTTGGTTAAGAATGTGATTTTCAGCTTTTATATTTTTCCAGTTGAATTCAGTGGATATATGAACGTCTTGTTCATTTAGAAGCTTATTATTAATTTTGAAAAAGCTTTCGTAACTTCAGCCTTTAACTAAACTTTAATTGGGGTCATCCTGCATAATTAGTAGTCAGTAAAGAAAAAATAAAGTGATTTTTATAGTCTTTCGGGCTAATCGACGCAGGCAGCAATACCCATAAAAATTACTGTTCCATTTCAACCTTACTTCCGTGTATTTTTGCTTACATCAATCTAACATCTAATTGAAATATTTCGGATGTTTCCTTATCCATATGATATGTCTGAAACATCAAAGTCAATATATGTGGTAGCTGGGAAACGTGTTTCGAGTAGGTATATAAAATGTATTTGCTGTTTTATTTTTAAGCTTGTGGAGGCGCATGGCATGAAAATTTAAGCCTCTTTTATGATGTTCAGGTTAATACAACAATAATATCATGTGGATTATAGGATTATTATAAATGTTACTTTTCACATTAAATGTCATTGAATGCGACAAAATTAAAAATAAACGAGAATTTTTCTGAATAATCCAGTTTTCTGAGCTCCCTTAATTTTAATAAATTTACAATAGATCATGATAGAGATTTGTACGATAAAGTCATTAAAATAATTCCCAAAATACAGATCAACAAACCACATAGCTTTCTGCTTGGGAAATATAATTAAAAACTATTAATTATTTTTATAAGGTTCCAAAGACGTTGTAAGTTGAATAAAAGCGCACACACACTTTCTCGCCTCACCGGTTCAACAGCTTCAAGAAATAAATTACAGTGGTAACAAAGCTAGATAGCGACATGTTTATTGCATTTAATTTATTAAGTAATCTTGCTTTAAGGTAAGGGGAGATTTTGGGCTTTGAAAATTACAGGAAAGCTGCGTTTAAGATAAAATGGGTGAGTTATGTTTGGGCCTTACTTAATGGCTGTAATAGAAATTTACGATCTGTTGTAGTACCTCTGATGTTTATTTGCCACACCCGATGTACCTAATCCGTAATTTACAGAAATTTGTCTCGCTGACATGCAAAGTCGTATAGGTCGGACTGTTAATTTATAATTTGGAATTATTTTCGCAGGTCTACAACAGAAAATTTTAATAAGAAACAAGACTCTCATGTTCAAAWTTTCAGTCAAGCGAATATTTTTCATCCAGTTAGTTGGGTTATAGGACCTCAAAGTTTGGGTATTTTTTGAATTCCTGGGAACGTTTTTGTTGGTGAAATTCTGCATGTTTGAACACTTTGCCCGGGAGCCCACGTGTGCAAATTTTTGCTGGCTGTTTCTTTTTCAAGAAAAAGTCGAGTAATACTCAATGTGCCAGGAGCGCTTAGTCCTTTGGGTAAGTTTCCACGAAAAGTCGAAAATGGGCAGTAAATTTGCCTAAGTTTAAATGATGTAATTTAAATGTGGAAATCGCTTGGGTCATCGCCCACATTTTATCACTTATGTCACCCTATTTTCATTTTTTAAATAACTGTATTCAAACTTAAAGTGCTAACCATGTTTTATATAAATTAAAGTTTTTACTGCACTCTATAAATGCTCCATATTGACATTTTCTAAACAAAACTCTTGTGAATTCTGGCCTTAATTATGAGGAAACTTTGTTCTGAGCGTTACCAAGATATTCAGCCTAAGTACATTTAATTTCTGACCTCRTCGGCCCAACTCTTGGTAGGTTTTTATTAATTGAGGCTAAAGAAATAAAAGCTCAGAGCCTACACTCAGACTGACAAAAACATTGACATTTTTTTWATAATTTGTTTAACTTTTAATATGTTTGGTAAAACGTATAGATCAGGCACTAATAAATTAAACAAATCTAATAAATCACACAAAAGCTGCCGTATAATTCCCTTGCATTGTGCAAARTTCATTATTAAGCAGTAATAATATTTAGATAGTGAGTAGAAAGTATTTCAATTAAAGGTGATATTAGAACGTATTGTGCMCACATCTCTTTCACTAATACCGCAGTTATTGAGAAGGCGATCATGAAAAACTACAGAAAATATTTTTRTTCCAGAGTAATAGCTGATATTGCCTATTTTTGGTTCTTCAGATTTGACATAAAAMCCCATAGAGCACATGTGCTGTTCATTCCTMAAAATAAAGTCCCTTCGGTCAGTGATTTATATTTTGTCTTATTGTCTATATTTTTCTCATTTTAGTTTAATAAAATATTTGAAGATTGAAAAACAGCTGCGTAGCAAGACAATCAAGGCTCAGTTGAAATATGGATTTTTCAACATGGCAACAAGGTCCAGGCAAGTTGGTCCAAGGTTTTGATAACATTTATCGACTTGGGTGAACTTCATTCGAGTAATTAATTGATTTATTTTTCAACGTCATACATTGTAATATTTATTAGCTACTGTATTATGCTTTGACACATACCTGAAGGTTTATTTATAGATAATAGTTGAAATGTTTTAATATCATTTAAAAAAACAATAGTTCCACACTCAATCCATCCATTTGAAGTGTTTTAGTAAATCATTACATCCAAGATAATCCAATATGTATATATGCATTTGCTAAATAATTGGGTTTTTCTGCCTTAAGTTGCCTATGAAGTTTTAACTTCAACATGGACTTTTTTGAACTTCTGATCTTGAGATTCAAACAAACTTTATTTGAGTCCAACTACGAGCATGATAAAGTTTCCAAAAATTTCCATTTGTTCATTTACCACTCGATAGGAAATTTATGTGACGTACTTATTTTTTAAGAAAACAATGATGAACAAAATAAAAATGAGACTAACTACGCCTTTAATCGAAACTAAACTGTTTGAAGCAATGAAATTTTTTCCACTTCCAAAGTTACGATAAATCTGGCTGCGTAACATCCATTTGGTTGTTTTGCTAAATGAAATTTTGTAACAGTGATTGCACAATCAAAGAGTTATAGTGAAACTTTACGACTTTCTATCCATCATTTTAAACTACTTCAAGAATCTGAAGTTTTCTTGCAGATTTATTATTACATTCATTCCCAGTCTAGACTGTCATGGCAAACCCGAGAAGACAAATATTCTGTTAATTTTTCAAATTATTAACGCCATTTCAGCGCCCGCATTAAAAACAAGACAAAATTATTCCGTGACCAAATTCAGTAATTAAATTTGTACCGATTTAATTAACGGCGAGAAAACCGTTTATAAGAACTTTCTAGACTAATTCCTTCAGGTGTTTTTCAACGACATATTTAAACAGCTTCGAGACTGCAAGGTTTTCATTTCATGTTAATTATGCAGCGTACATTTTTAGTTTAATTCGAAGCGAATATTAGAAATGCAACGACTTAATTACTCGTAAATATCAGCAAAGCAATCGGGTTTCAGAGGCTTTATTTGCAGGTGGAAATTAATCATCAGGAGTCAAATTTAAATCCAGAATGTCATTGTGGAGCTAATCTCAAACAAAATTTGCATTACCGACGATTAAATGGCAATACTGTTGCAATTATTTATGCACAACTAACCTCTATTGCGTCTGCAGAAAAATGTTAGTATTCCAGCAATAATCAATGAAGCCAGAACAATAACTGCTACTGAGATCCACAAATATAAACGAGTACAGTCTGGAGTAGGTGGTGGTGGTGGTTCGAGCAAGGCTAATGTACCAAGCTGAGATTCATCTTCCGAAGAAGTTTTAAGATTCATTTGAGTTTCTTCAATCACTGCGCTTAAGACTCTTAGCGGTTTCATTTTCGGAACGCCTGGAAAACAAAAATATTTACCAACTAACAAATGCAAATTTCCTTTTCGTTTAGATATACTCATTTATTATAAGCTCGAAAGCCAATTTCCCTTACAAACCTTTGTTTCAAATTTATCTGGGACAAATAAAGTCTAAAAGTCTAAGTTGTTTACTTGGAAAAGACTTCTCCGATTAATCTTATAGACACTCTAATTTTTACAAAATAAAACACTTGGATATCTGGAGTTTTATCTCTAATGTCATCAAAGGCATCGGAGATAAGTTCCAGTGTTATCATAATTTATTATAATCCAACTTGTAAACAAACTTTTATCGTCAAACTAAAATTAGCTCATTCATAAGTTGATCTTGTAAAAATCGTATTCATTGTTAACTGTGTAAACTTTCAGTAGGAAATCTGTAATATTTATTTATGAAAATTGTTTCCGTGTCCTACCTATACATATACATCCTACGCAGTGCGAAAAATGTGATGGAAAGTTCATACATTTGAGACTTTTTTAATATCTTTGATTTTGTCGAGAACGGTTTGATAAACCCGTTTAGTTTCTCGTGTTACCGGGAAAAACAACGATTAATTTTATCTTTGGAATACATTTGAGAATCAAAGAATGGAAATAATAATATTAAATTAGAACTGAATAAATAATATTTTTTTGATTTTGGTCATATATAGTCATATTTAGGCCTCGCTGTTGTTTCATTGTTTTAAATAATTCACTTGAGACACTTCAAATAATTAATGATTTAAATTATGTACAGTCGAATTGAAATATTGACTGTTGAGGTGAAGTTTGGTCACTTTGCTTGTGTTTTTTGAAAATTAGAAACGCGGTTTTTGAAAACACACTGTAATTTTTTCAATAGTCTTGATTACATTTGATTCAAATTTCATACGCCAAGCAAATACTTCATTTGAAATGAAGAAAAGTTAAGAAAACCAAGTGAGAGACAAAATCATTGCAAATGATGAAAATGTTTGTGCAAACGATAAATAATGGAATGGAGGTTTTAATGAAAAAAGCATTATTAAAGCATCGTTCATACATTTGTTTAATAGATTTAAAAAAATATGAGTTATTCTTATTGCTCAAATATTTAAATATCAACTTCGTCCATTTTTGCGCACAATTTCAGCCTCTTTCTAGCTGACAAATTTTAACCTTCATATAAATAAAAGTTGTTAAATTGATGGCTTGGATATATTTCCAGGTCCTCTTTGATTTGCTGGGTATTATGATGTGCGTTTCAAGCACACCAAATTTTGCTTATGGATTTTACTATTAAGGTTTACTATTGTGGAACTATTATGGTTACAGTAGAGCTTTGCCAGATAAAAGTAAAGTAGGTAAATGTGACTTATTCACTTAAGCTCAAAAATCCCAAACGTATATAAGATTTTTTTCATGCATTATTTTTACAAAATTTTGTTTTATTGTAAACGTAAACATATTTCATTATTTTCTTCAAAAATCGTAAAAAAATTAAAAAACGTTTCAATAAATTGTGCATAGTAACAATCTCAAGCGCCCATTATATCGCTTGCTCACCGTAATAATTCTAATAAGAGGGATTGAAAACGGACTCTTTTAAAATAGCCAGTTTCATTGGTGATAATGAATTTGATTTCCTTAAATAAATATTTTTTGTATTTGATTTTCTATTAACACTTACATAAATTGGCTCAGCAACAAGGGAATCTTAGCTGTGATTATCTAAAATAAACAACAGAACGGAATGAGGATCTATTCATTTATTTTACAGGTGATTTTTTAAAGCTTATCAGACATCTTGGTAATTTTACTTTGGTTTTATCAAATTAGTATTAGGAGCTGCGCACGATATTTAAGAATAGTTTTTTCTGTATCGGAGTAGTAATTATTGGTTCATTAATACATTCAGACTTTTCCTTCACCATTACTTTCACCAGTTTTATTATTTTCAAATTAATACACTTAATATTCCATTGACTTCCATTATTTGCCGAATACTCAACTTTTATGCTTGAATCAAGTTTCTGGGATTCCAGTCAACATTAGCTTGCAATAACTCAATAAATAACGATCACGTTTTGTCTAATACGCGTTTGATTAAACTTTTGTTTTGCATAATGCTAATATAATAGTCAAGGAAAACAATTGTCGCAAACAAAGAACTCATGGGATGCCTCCATTTAAAAAACTAAATAAATATGAAATATATTTTATATAAATAAATAGAAAAATAGATTTTCAATCAAATTCTATGGATCTGTAAATAACCCTCTATCAGTCCAAATGTGAAATATGAAAATAACTTGAGCTTTTACAGCAAATATCAACACTTAAATTTTTTTTAAAATCTAAGCTCTTTGTTGCCTTGAATCTTCTATTCATCGAGAGATCAAGGTGTAAAATATATTATTTACAAAAAACAGCTCCAATAGTGACGGAAACTAGAAATATTTCTTCTTCAGTCGAATTTGAGTTGAATTTGCTAAAGTGTGATACTCAAATGTATACAATATAATTTAAATCTTTCATAACGAAAATTCCTAAGCTTGAAAAGAAAGCTTGCAGGTATCTCCGAGTTTCCCTTAATGAAGAACGAAATATTTTGTGTGCATAATGGAAATTAAATTATACTACAATGTGCGTACAGATAATAAATTTATCAGCACGGATATTTATCTATATTTTTATTTTACAAACTACTTCGTACATTATGAGAAACCGGTTATTTAAAAAAAAATTGACAATTTGAAATACAATTAAAGAATGCGAGATAAATTTGAACAAAACAATTATCGGTGAAAAGCGTTTTAAACTAAAAAATGTCTTATAGATATCTACATTAGCTGCTCCTACATCTAAATATTCTACTAATAAGCAACATGTGCTTTTATAAAAATCTTAATAACTGAATTTAGGCACATTGTGACAATTTCTGATGCAACTATTAACGTACGTGCTTACTTACTTTTAAATCTAAGTTCAATTGGCATAAAGAGATAGACTCTATTTCACACTTCACGCAAACTGTTCAATCGCCCTATTCCGCTCTAGAGTGACTCATTCCTGTTTTTTTTATTCTGCACTGCCCGTCACAAAAAAACTACGACATCTGTGCCAATTAATGTTAAGAAACTTTCAATCTATATATCATTTAAACTTAATGCTTTCAAACATCCTTAATAAGCGTTATACCTGGATATATACGTGCAAAACGTGCAAACTATTGTTTCGTTTTATCTGTTACGTTTCAATGATAAAGGCATTCATTTTTCATTTCGCTAATCAGTTAAAGCGTCGACGCGACTGGGAATATTAAAGCAAATATTAAGCTATCACATAGATAACGTTTAAGATTAAGACGAGGCGTTATTGTCGATAAGTGGATGAATTTTATCAAAAATAGGAAAAAATCAAATGTCATATATTATAAAAATTAATCGGTTAAATAATTTAAGTTAGGTACAAAGTCATCGAAAATCATTGATGCAAATGTAAACTGCCTAAAAAAATTAAAAATAATAATACATTGTGAGGGCGAGACTGATGTGAGGTTAACGCAAGTCCTAATTTACCTTTACAATAGAGTAGAAATACGAGGAATACAAGGGAATAGTTAAATTTCAAAATAAAATTTAATTTTTGCATTAAGCTGTTAATGTTGTCTAAATTCTCCCACTTCAAACTTGAAAGTAAAGAATATTGAAAGTTAGTTAGGTAAGCTTTTTAAAATAATTTAATGCCTGTTTACGGAAAACTTATGTAATTACTTACACTCAATACGGGCCAACTTTGTTCATAGTTTCGAGATAAAATGAGTGTTCTCGAATCACAGCTGTAAGCAGCATCTTTTGAAACTTCAAAGTGTAAAATTTCATTGCAATTTAAACGACACCAAAGCAACCCATTCGAGTAGTAAGGATATTTTCTGGTATTTCTGGTATATAATGGTCTAATCGACTTCGGGCTGCTGCTGCAATTTTCTGAGTGAATAATGATGAACAAATATACAACATGCAAGAGAAACATTCAAAGTTTAGAGTAGTAGACGAGAAAATAATATATTATATGTTCGCTTTTTATGCATACCTACGGGCGAGGCTTCTGCACCTCATTATTTTGCAACCCTGTTAAATATTCTTCTATCACCATGAACAGTGGAAATTAGAATTGTGGAAGCAGAATCAGAAACAACAACTGTTTTTTATTTCAGTACATCAGGAGATGCATTGTTTTCTAAGAAATCATGGGAAACTTAGAAAAGGTCTTAAGATTTTTTCAAGTTTCCACTCCACAATTTTCAGTTTTTTTGGACCATACCTCTTACCATTTTTATAAAATTCAGTTCAGAGATCCCGATGAGAAACATTAGTGTGAAAATATATACAATAGATTTACAATTTAGACAAATTACGACGTTAAATCGAAATATACTCGGCTTATATAAACTACTGTATTAGTATTTTAATTATTACACTTTATTTGTTTCCTGAGAAATGGCGATTTGCTACACCAGCAATTTGTTTATACTGATTTGATTTATGATTGTATGAAAAACCCAGTACTTAATTATGACAAAACTGTTTGAGAGACTGTTCATCTAAGCCACTAAATATTCAGTAAATCTTAGTAAATAATCGAAAAACTTTGTAAAGGGATATTGCCAGACAACAGTGAACAAAAGCTCATTAGTAGATGATTATGCTTTCGTGGAGGTTACGTTGCTTATAATTATTTATCAATTAAGATTTAATTATTTACCTCACGCTTTTCACCGAGATTACTGCGCATAAATCGTATAGAAAGGCGTAAGAAAAGAAAATATCTCCATAAATTGTATTGGGTTTCAACTAATTTTTCCACTTCGTTTATCATGTCTGTAACATTCAACGATCACATTACAGTTTAATATACAGGGTGTCCCGTAAACTCATGATCAAAAGTGTACTGCGATATTCTTTGGACCCAAAGAAGACGATCTGACCTAACTTTTATTAACAAGAAATGTGTGGCTCCTCTGCTATTGATGGTCACAGTTCTTCAACAAATTTATCGTTTTTGAAATCTCGGGAGAATGGTACGATTTATTTTAGTGAAACTTGCTGTGAATTTGTTCTTATGTAAGACTCATATTTTGATGAAACAATCGAGTTCAGCCGTTTTGGACAAGTGGTGAATTSTTGAGTGTCGTGGTACAAGAACTACCAGAACTTTTGAGTTGGAGGATSAAATCAACTCATYTTTTTTAGGTTGATGCACTAAYCATTTATTCACAATTTTGGGCTMTTWGWAAAATCTTGTAGCAYTCATAGTTTTTGCGAAAAAATATATTTCTGTTTCCTTGCCACTTAACAATGTTAGACATTAACTGCATATATCGCGATACGAAGCATAAAATCATTGTCAATCAATCTCAAAAATTCGTTTTGACTTAGTGTTTTGCGAAGACAATTTGCGTGAAAGCGTACGCGTTTACGCGGCGCATATTTACAGTAAATGTCTAGCATTTCTAAGTGACTAGAAAACAGACATATTTTTTTMCTCAAAAACTATGAATGCTACAAGATTTTACGAAGAGCACAAAATTGTGAACAAATGATTAGTGCATCAACCTAAAAAAATGAGTTGATTTCATCCTCCAACTAAAAAGTTGTACCACTTGTYCAAAACGACTGAACTCGATTGATTCATCAAAATGTGAGTWTTACATAAGAACAAATTCACAKSGAGTTTCACTAAAATAAATCGTACCATTCTCCCGATATTTCGAAAAAGATMATTTTTYTGAATAAATTTKACCATCAATAGCAGAGGAGMGAGACATTTTTGGTTAATAAAARTTAGRTCAGATGKTCCAAAGATGGTCTTTTGKTYCAAAGAATATCGCAGTACCCTTTTGATCKTGAGCTTACGSGACACCCTGTATAGAGTGGAAGCAGATCTGTTGACTAGCTGCTGCATTTTAACTTTTTCATAAGGTGCATTTGTCTTAGAATTCTCAATTTTCTTCCAAGGAATAAACAGTTATTAAYTTTAACAAATATTATATAACTTGCATATTTCTAATGCAAAGAAATTTGCATTAGTGCAAATTGCAAAAAATGCAAAGGTGCTCTTAGAAATACTAGGTAAAGGAACAAKAAAAGTGTMTTTGAAACTGCTGGAAATTGTGATCTAGATGTAAGGATTCCTCGGAGCGAAGCTGTAAAGAAGCATTATTTCCTATAAAGTAATTGCTTGGCTTTCMKCCTTAGGGCGGCCCCAAATAGTAAATTATTAATTTCGTAAACTTAAGCTTCAACYAGTAAMAAGTATGAAAAGATCCAGRACTTTCAACAATTAAAGTATCGTAACCCCAAGCCAACCAGTTTATGTGAGCAAAAATTTTAACGGTTGAGACCTTTAAAGACTTCCAAAACCTTATACGAATTTTTGCACCGGTRGAAAATAGCTAACTGCAATATTCTAATATTTTAAACTATTAACATCTGGAATCCTAAAGCGACTAATAGAACATRWTTTTATTCCGCTGATTGAGCATTTTGTGAGCTATCTACCGGTAATAAAATGTTTAGGGCCGGAAGTGCTTCGCCTCCTATAATAATAAATAACTCTATATTTCCATATTTGAGAGCAAATGGCTAGTAGTAAGGACCGTTTCGATAGAGCTTGTCGCCAACTATTTTTCGCATAAAACTTCAACTCACATTCGTTTTTAAATAATCGAGTATATTGACTAGTTTTAAATTTCCTCCATGCATGCAGTTCCTTTTACGCATTTGTACTTACGCGTTTTGTACTCCAAACAATGCAATACTAAAATTCATCAAATTGTTGTTTTATATTGAATTTGTTACGTAGATGTTTAATTCGAAGCTAATGAGATTAAACTCATTCTGAAACAAGAACTTAGTAGATAGGAACAGTTTTTTTTATAACCGTGTTAATCCTAATTTAGAAGTTAATGGCACAAGGACTTTAAAAGTTAATATTGAAAAAGCTCACACAATAAGCTCATAATGCGGTGAGCCTATAAACAACGTTTCTCCGTGTTTTCGATGCCAACTCGTAATTAAAAGCTTTATTAAAAGTCATTAAAATCCTCAGTTATCAACTATTTTTTACGAATATAATTAAGGTTTTTTTATTATTTTATCATCAACCTAACTAGAAGAAGAAATTATTTTGTGCATCATTTTTAATGCCTTTTAACTAATTTTAGTTCAATTATCCTTCTTGCGAGAAATTAATTTGTTTTCATGCGCTTTCTTCAACAATTTTATTTCTTTTTAGTCCAGGCTCTAGCAATTATGAATGGAAAAAATATATCAAAATCGAGTTCTACAACTTCTAATTACCGCATCTTATTTTCTGTATTCTTTTGCTCCGCTGTATGATATATGATAGTTAGTACATAAAAATTGTTTGAAAAGAAAATTTAGGTTAGTTTGAATAATTAGCAAAGGATTGCGATTGGAAGAATTAAAATTGTACACCTATTACTGTTGAATAAAACGCTCATTTTGTGCCCAAAAATTGATTTTAGTTAGTAGTAATAATTCGCTTTAATAAGAGGGATGAATGTTTGTCGAGAAATATATTGAATAAATTTGAAATTTTGTATTTATGTATGCAGCATACAATAGAGACCAGGCATCCAAACAACGCCAAGCTGCGACATTGATCTGCTCCCACTAAAATATGTTCTGTAATTACAAATGTAGACGCTTTGTTATCTGCGGTCTACTAAACTACATGGATCTTTATGACAGGCATTTCCAACTAATTTATTTACTGATCATTCTGTAAGCACTGTGTGATGTATGATACCAAGTATATTGAGCTTTTTAAATCAATCACATAATAATCCCCCAAATGTTTGATCAGCAACAGATGATTTAGTGCCCATTTTGGATGGTTTTTCAATCCTCTGTTACCTATTTATCTTATGCTTTTCCAATTGTTGCCTAATGACACTGATGGTCTATGTTATCTTAGCAATGTAATTTGCCGATTATACAGTATTTTTTTTATTATGCGAAAGAAGTGTGATGCCAGCTATAATCATAATTCATCTGAGCGATAATAGGAAAAATATGGGAGCGCAAAATCACTTCACTTCGAACAAAGCAACATTTGGTGTGGGCTTCTACTAAGTCCAAGTTACAAAGCTTTTGACAGCGGAAAGTTGATGATTGTGTCGCTTTAACCCTCTGGAATATTTCCCGCAATAGCTAGAACTTGGTAGAAATGCATGATAACTAATTCAAATATTTCTATTTTCAGAAATACCGGAAACAATATATCTAGTTGCAAAGCAACACAATGGATACGACATCTACTTTACCCAATGCATAGCGACATGGGGCGATTATATTGACACTATCTTCATGATAAGCCGAATGGTATTATGCTATTTTTTGCCTCTCATACTTATGTCAATAGCCTATTTTCAAATCATCAAGATTCTCTGGAGATCGGACAATGAGCAACATCAAGGTGATTATGAACTTCAATTTATTTGATCGAGTCGTTTTCAGTCATTACCAACAATAATTTTATTAATTATACCACCACACGTATGGCTTGTGTTAAAATCTTATCTTAAGTAAGATCCTTTTAGCAACAAGCGTCGCCAACTGATACGTATATACACGTCTGATTGTCTGGATAACGCATGCACTTTAAAATTGTGTATCTAAATATGTTCCATAAATCTAATATAACCTTTATCATCAATAATATGAGTGGAATAAATTGCGTTAATTTCAGGGATTATGTCAGCTACATCTGCAATTCATGAACATACCATACGTTTAGTAATTTTAAATTAACGGTTTTGTTTACAAAACAATTTATTTATTTTTCATTACTGCTTAAAAGTACAAATACTTTGTATGTACCGTCAGTTGCCCGTCTTTTCGTCTATATATTTGAAGCCTTACATAATATTATGCGTGTTTGACAAATATTAATCACTTATAACTTCTGAATCCGCATGCATGATCCATATAATACTGGAATGCTGAATGATTAAGGATTTTATTTGTTGGAATAATTTATTTAAATTTTCCAGCTGGTGTTTCTGGCTCATATCGATCTGGACAATCAGGAAACACATTTTCGATGAACATGAATACGACCACAGAGGGACAGTTAAGATCGAGGAGAAAAGCAGCCAAAATGTTAGTTGCAGTCGTCGCTATGTTTGCCTTCTGCTTCTTTCCTATTCATTTGCTGAATATCTTACGGTAAGTTTAATGTGAATAGTTTTTACTTACTGAGGCGGTTGCAATCGTTTAAACCTATAATAGTCACTTTTTATGGTTTATATTTGTTAGTTTTATTCTTTCGTGATATTTTAGATCACATTTCTTATAATGGTCACTTAGAATTAGATCAAACTCCAATTTGCTGCATCAATCAGGGACAGGTAATGTTCTTCAAAAACTCAAGGCGAAGTCTTTTAGTAACAGAAAAGTTACAGCAATTATTTATTAGTTTGTAGTTACCCAATGCCGATGTCGATATTGTTCAAAATTTAATCCGTATCCTTAAAAAAATATGAACAGGCAAAATGTAGGAAAATGGTAACTTACGAATTTATATCTATTAATAAATACATTCTCTTGCACCTAAATTTGGAATTTGCACAGTTTAAATGTTGAAGCAAGTCTTCAACACTTCTAATTACCGTTATCTGGTGTTTTAAGCAGAAAAGCGTAACATTTTTATTTTATAAGACCTGTGAACGTTATGTACCCAAAAGACAATTAAATCTAATATGAACATTACCAAAATATTTTATATTGATTATAATTGAATTATCTAGCTGTATCTCCAAGTCCGCCTTTATCCTGTTATTTGATTATTTTTTACCTTTTCGTCTTTAATCTGAAATTAATATAAGAACATAAGGGCTTGTGTATTGACTAAAAATGTTTAGTTTTGTGATCGGTTCTTGGGGAAAAACGGGAGGAATTTATTTTCGTTTTTGTTCCGAATTCGACGCTGAAAAAAGTTTTTGTAAAATTTTTACTTTTTGCCTCCATATCGTCAGTATTTTTAAGTGAAACTACAATAGAGCGTTTTTGAGAAGAAAGTAAAGTAAAAAACAAATTTAGTCAAATCTAAAAAACCATATTTTCTTAACAACTCTACAGTCTTCAGAGGTATGGAGGTGACGAGATTTCCAAATAATCTGTTATAAACTTCCGCTTATTGAGTTCGTTTTTTGATATAAAATTAGTTGATTTTTGCTACAAATTCGAAACTGGAAAGGGATTTCCAAACTTTTTACAAAGCGACGAAGGATTCGAAATTTATTTCATAATCGTAAC